TTAGAAGAATCTTGGAGGTTTGTTTGAGGTTTTTTTGCTGGGTTTTGATTTGGTTTTAACTATACACTTTGTTGTTAAATCTGCAATTTTTTGTAGATTGGAATTGTTGGCAGAACTGGAGCAGGGAAGTCCTCCATGACACTCTGTCTCTTTAGGATCCTGGAAGCTGTAAAAGGGGAAATTAAAATCGATGGTGTGAAAATTTCAGAGATTGGTCTCCATGACCTTCGATCAAGGCTAACAATTATTCCTCAGGTACTGTTTCTGTGTGTCAAAAAGGAAGGATCTTTAACAGCTTAGCAAACTGTAACAAATGGTTTATCAACAGAGAGAAATGCTTTGTTGCACTCATAAAATTGTTTCAGAAAAATAAACTATTTATACTTTAAGTGATCCTGTCCTGTCACTTCATAAGGTGATGCTGGGTAATAAAACAGGATTTAGGATAAACCATCTTTACAGTTGGAATTTGTATTTTAAGTGTGTATAATGTAATGTATTTTCAGAGTGGACAGGATTGGGAGGTAGCCTACCTGCAGTGCAATGGAGTCTTCAGAGCAGTTATTCATAATATCTCCGCTCAAAACAGCTAAAGCACTTGTCTAATGAAAGTTGGTTTTATATCCAGGATCCCGTTCTCTTTTCTGGAACGCTGAGGATGAACCTGGATCCATTTAATAAGTATTCAGATGAAGAAATATGGAAAGCTCTTGAACTGTCTCATCTGAAGAGGTTTGTCAGCAGTCAGCCATCCATGTTGGACTATGAATGCTCCGAAGGTGGAGAAAATCTTAGGTAAGGAATGCTTGAACTAGAAACATACACTGAGCTTTCATTCAGCTCATTCATTCAGTGAGTAGCACAGGTTTACACCGTAGTCTCTTGTGTATGAAATGATTTAGCCACCTATTCCTGTTTCAAGAAAACCACTAAGGGTCCAACATTTGCCTACGGTTCTGCCTCTGCCACAAATAATCTGATTCTTCTTCGCTGCTGGGAAGGATTTCTCCCAAATAAAAATCCTGGTTTATCAGTAAAGAAGTTTCGGGATGACAAGGTATTGGGAAAAGACAGTCCCTTAAACATGGTTTGGTAGGAAGGGAAATGCCATGATAACATATATAACGGCTGTGCTGAGTAAGAGTCCTCTGCCTGAACTGGCACTTTTAACAATGCTTATTTTCCATTATGATTTGGAAGACCAATGAAGACATGAATGGGGATGATAGAATGCCACGCTTTGATATGCTGCGTTGGCTTCTGGGACTGTGGTGTAACCACATTATGTATGTGATGAATGTTCAGCTTCTTCCTCATCCTGCAGAGAAACTTGGACAGAGGCTGTGCCTGGGGTGTGTTTGTAGTAGGGGAGGAGGTGTGGGATGCCCAGATGTTTTATTTTTTATATGCTAGAAAAGACTTGCAGCCTCAGAACACTTTTTTTCTTTTTGTGTTAAAGTTTGCATATATACTCAGTGCTGTTAGAACTGTTTGTGTTTCTGAAGAGTCAGGCAGAAGCATTGTAACCATTAGTTTCCCTGGCTTTTGTCACGGCAATAGAAAGGGGGCAGTTGGTGGCTCTGTCAGTACTGAGTCAGGCAGCAAGTGAACACATACACTGAAACTAGCTGAGTATTGCTGCAATGTGTGTGTATCAGTCCTAGGGCTGCCAGACCAGGCTGTTTGCTAAATACTTTTTGTTTGTTTGGTAACTTTACCTGATGAGTAATCTGCACAAGCGATTCTGAGCAGTGGAGAGCTAAGGGCAGTGGGGTGTCTCTGCTTGCAGCGTTGGCCAAAGACAGCTCGTCTGTCTGGCAAGAGCGCTACTTCGCAAGACGAGAATCTTGATCCTAGACGAAGCGACAGCGGCCATCGATCTCGAGACAGATGATCTTATCCAGATGACAATCAGGACCCAGTTTGAAGACTGCACAGTGCTGACAATAGCGCACAGGCTGAACACAATCATGGATTACACAAGGTAAAAATCTCTTAATGGTGCGTGGTGGGGGACGCTTACCGGTTTACTTAAAAGGATCTGGTCTGTCTCTAGATAGTCACACTGACGCTCCTGTCAGGTAAGCAATGATGTTCAAGCCATATAATCCTAGAATATCCAGACCTGACTTTGCCTCTGTTGGTATAAGAAACAGGTTCTATATTCACTAACCAAAGCTGTGCAAGAGATACTCCCCAGTTGCATTAATGGCACTGTCAGCAAACTTATGAATCCTTTTTAAACTAGCAGCTACTGTAACTTTTTCACTAACGTCAGGTCATTTTACTTGAAAATACATTACTGTACTTCATGAGCTTTTATCTCCTTGGCTTTCTGGTACTGTATTTTCAATTCCAGAACTACCAGTATGACACTTTCTCCCCCCACCCCGCCTCATTACCCCTGGGAGAGAGTGACTGTCCTGTACCTTTTTAAATCAAACAGCAGCACAGGGAGAATGTTTATCATCTGTTGTGTTTCAGTATGTGAAAATAATTGAGCAAAACAAAGGCAAGGCAAAGGTTAGAGCAGTTTGATTTATGATAAAAAGGGCTGTCACATTGCTTGCAAGGAATTCTCTGACATATCTTCACCTCCCCACCACCACCTTTTGTTTTGCACAGGGTTCTTGTTCTAGACAACGGAACCATAGCTGAATTTGATACACCTGCAAGCCTTATAGCAGCAAAGGGTATTTTCTACAGTATGGCCAAAGATGCTGGACTAGCGTGAACAGAAGACCCCTTGAGTTTTTGGTTTGGGATTTTTTAATATTACTGACTTGCCACAGAAGTGACTTGTGAATGTACTGTAATTTACAAAACAGTTTTTGTAGTAGACTAAACTTGTGATATGTGAACAAAGTATTTTACAATTATAAGGACCTGAAAGTGAATTTTATATTTTTTAATATTTTCTATATAAAGTATTTTATTATATGCTTTTTTTCCCAAAGAATGCCAAACATTCTGCCAAGAAAATGGATGTATCGCAGGGCAATATGTACTGTATTCAGGTTTATAATTAGTAAATTATATTAATGGTACAAATTACACCTGGTTTGTGTGTTTTCTGCATAAGGATTCACTGGTTTTGAAGTGGAAAGACAGGCCCAGTTAAGCAGTGACTCAGCTGAAAAATAGTGAACTAATGAGTCATCTTGGAGTGGTTCCAACCTGTTCCTTTCAGTATTTCCCCCAGGACAAGGGTGTTGAATGCTACAGCCTCAGGGCTGTGAGCTAGCCCAGGACCTTTGGTATCCCTGCCCCAGGGCAACTTTAGTATTATAAAATTCCTCTTCAGCAGAATTATGAGTAACGTGTATATAAAACTAAACCTACAGATGGCTTAATATAAATCATTAACTACACAATTTCTACCAATTTAGTGGACTCCACATAAGCCTGCAGGGACATGATGGGCACAGAAGTATTATAATTTTGCTGTATCTCTCAAGTATGAAGTCACTATGAGTAAGTCTCTGCTTAAACTGAACATGCATGCTGAGCAGATGTGTATATAATTTATCTCATTCAACACTTAATCATCCGAAATAATGTTTCTTTTGCAGAAATAAGTATCTACCTTATTACTGACAACCAAGCTGACAGAATGACTTTTGCTTTAGTTGTTTGCTTCCTCCACCAAGCACTCTAGAAATCTATGTTCCTTTGTTTTTTCCATAAGTAAAGTTCAAAAAAACTTTGAGAAGACAAAAATAATCATTTATTAACTGTTACAAATAATACTTCTTAAATAGAAACAAGAATCTGCAGCCAAGCATTCATTTGATATTAACGTTTCATATAGCAGAGCACAAAGTAATGAACTAGCATACACAGCAAGGTAATAATTATACACTGATCAGTGTTAGCAGTGTTAATAGTATCTTCTGTGTATAAACTGCATAACGTATAAAAATATTCCTTGGAATGCATAGATAGTGATCAGCATCTGTGCAAGATAATCAGGGTCACAACGAAGTCATCAAGCCAACAGCTGAGCTTTTCTCTAGCACGTTTGACTGGTTAAGCCTGGAACACTCGTGGATTTAGCTGGCGTTCAGGCAGCCGATGCCTACACCCTGTGTTCTGCGTGCCAGGGAGAATGCAATACACAAAGTGGGATATGAGGAACAACAATTTTATTATTCCATTTTACAGAAGTTAATATACCACCATCAATTTGGTATAAAAGAACAGGTATTGCAAATGACTCAGACTACATTTGACCTCCAGCACTTTTCAGAAGAGGGTATTTGGTTGTGACAAAATGTTCTACTATTTGCCTTAAGAGACTGAGCTTCAGTCTAGTTAATTGGCACGCAGGAAATTTGGGTGTTTGCATGGCTCTGTGCTTCCAGGTGAACACTGGACATCCGACTACAAGGCGGATTGGGAGAGGGCTCCCTCTTGTGTGCTCAGTCACTCCGGCTGAAGCTGCTCCCCTTTGCACAGAGTGCTATTCACTGGATGGGAAAGAGAGAGCACGGGTCAATTTGGGTACCAGTTCCTGTTGTATCAGCTCTAACACAGGTGACTGCTCTGACTGCAGGGCAAGAAGGAACTTCTTTACCTGCCCCAGCCTCCGAGGAAGGAGTCACGGCTGTGGTGGACACCGACCTCCGGTCAGAGGGGGTCATCGGGCCCTGGAGGAAATGCTCCCTGCTCAGCACGCTACTTCTATAAATCCCGTTTACAGGGCCGCATACCCTGTACAGCTAGCTCGGGCTGTAAAGTCTTAGACAAGATGATAAAATCCTTTGGTTGCTGTAGTTTCCAAAGAAACGGGAGAAAGGAGGGGGAAGACGAAGAAACAGGGGAATTCAGTCCAGTTTGGTACATTCTGTTTGCCTGTTACATCTCGTACTTCAGTTCGTTGATCTAATTCATAGTACACACTTTTACATTCAGGCTACCTGAATAGAACTCTTCCTCAAATGCAAATGACTGAGTAAATACTAAAATCCTAAAAAATTAAATAAAATCCAGCTCTTAAATACTTTTCAATTTATTTATTTCAGAATTTCATAGTAAAGTGTCTATTTCTGAATTTTAAGTAACAGGAAAACTGATTTTTTTTTTTTTCTCCAGTGAACAACATGGGTAAACACAAGTCATTTGGAAAAAAAGAAAATACATTGCATAGGAACATCAAGATTTAATATCGGCCCAGAAAACTCTGGGCATTTCAATAGTTTCTTTTTACACATGCAACTTGTAAAGGTTCAAGATGTGATCTTTCTCAGGAATGTAGAGGTGAAAGGCAAATAAAATTACAATTTTTGTGCTTTTAAAAGGAGAAATTAAAGCAGCATTGGAGAAATATGTTGTCAATACAGTAACAAAAATAGTATTTTAAATTTCACACGTCAATACTATATATTGACAGACAACAATATAAGAGATTTTGGTTGAGAGCATATTTATGATTTGGATAATTACTATCACTTTTTATTTGCAACCTGAGAAATAGGGAAAAGTGTAAACAGGGATTAAGAAATCACAGGTAATAAGACACTTGATAGTATTTAGACATAGTTTTGTGCTTCTTCCACAGCTTTAAACCCTTCTGGTTTTTTCCTTCTAAATAAGATATGACTTAAAATACATGATCTAAAAAGTGAATGTTAATGGTAATGGATTCAGTACAACTATTAAATGCATTTCATGGCAGGTTCTTTAGCTTGAGTACCTCTGCTATTTTATAGCAAACAAATTACTAGAACAGTTTAAGGTAAGCCTTTCCCTGAGAGCTGCTAACTCCGCAGTATTTCAAGATTATCTTTTTGAAAAGTGTTACATTAACAGAAGGTTCTATCAATACTTCCTTTGCTTTAAGCTATTTTCATATCAGACTCATTACCCTTAGATTAACTAGAGGCTGTAACTGTGCATAACAACTTTAGTCTTTTTCAAGGTTAACAAAATAGATTTTTTTCACATCATTAGCCCTTATAGATACTATATTTCAAATGTAATTTTAAAATGAGAGATACAAATCTTTTATTCTTTAAGCAATTAGTATGTAAGTTCTGATGCCTTCTTGTTATAACCACTCCGTTCAGAAAGTGTTGGGGCTCTGAAAAGTAAGTTTTTGTCGCTTACTGTTAGAACAAGCTCCAGTTCTTGGAAATCCTGTAGCCTTGCAACATCTTTGTCCTTTAAATAAATACAGTAAGTTGTTAGCTGATAAACCATCTGTTCAATTTTGCAGAGGTAAGTTAAAATGATAGGCTCATACTAACACAAGGTATGTATTCATCCATAAATATGACAATTCTTTACAGTAAACTGGAAAGCAGACATCTTGTTGCATCTTATATTTATACTAGGATCCTATTCAGCTACTCACCTAAGTCTATTTTTAGAAGGAATGAAACACTAATGGTGAGTGCAAGTGATTAGTGGAATTACACTGGTAAAGATCTACTGCATGCCACCCCCAACTCCTCCTTTTTTTTCCCCCCCTTGGAAATTCTTAGAAGGTCATTAATTGATTCTTGCATCTACCCAAGAAAGTCCTGCATGCAGCTTCCTCTAGATCAGCCCCCAACACGGTCACAGCGCTGGCTTTGGCAAGGTCTCACACTCCCACAGTAAGGGCTCACGCTCCGCTCCCCTCTGCAGCAGTACGCTGCTGCTCAACAGCATTAAGTAGAATTAGTTTTCTATCACCTCAAGGAACAATAAGCGTCCTGCAGTCCTACCCAGAGAGCCTGAAGTAATTAGAACTGGAAATAAAACCAGTCCTTTCAACAACAACCTAAGTTGGCAAGTGACAGAATTGCTTATGTCTTTTTTTTTTTTTTTAATTCACTCCTTGACTGACAAAGAATAAATCATCTTATAGTCAGTGAAGATGCAGTACAGTGAAGTCTATTAATTTAGTGCTAATCAGATTAGCTCCATTACTGACGCCAACAATGCTCTAGAGGGATTTGAGAGTGAAAGAAAGGTCAATGGTGAATTGGTAGAACAGGTCAGCAGGTCCATTTTCTGTTTGCTGCACAGGGAAATGTCACTGAAGGGAAGACAGTTGCATTCAGAGGCCCGCGCTCAGAATAATTCTGAAACACCTGTCTGTTTTTTCAAAGGGCTGCATACAGCCTTTACTGAACTCAGTTGAGTACTGCAGGCCTTTTAAATGCTGATGATGGGCCACGGCGGTGTGGTATGGCACTGAATTCAAGAATGTAGTAGAGAAATCGGGTATTAATTGGGCTCAACACCAAATGTTTATGAGAGGAAATGATCAATAAACTTAAGAACATTTTTACTTAAAAACAAACAAACAACTGCTGAGTGCTGGAATTTGAAAGGTTTTTCTGTTTTGGTGGGTTTTGTTCAGGTTTTTTGTTTGTTTCTTTATTTTGGAGGGGGTAGGAGGGGTTGGGTTTTTTATTTTTTGCAATATGGGCCTATGTAAGTGACCAACAAATTATTCCTTTTTAATGGTAACCTACAAATCTTTTTTATAAATTACTTCAATTCAAAATTGAGAGTTCTTACCTTCCTTAACATTGTATTTGGTAATTTTCTGATCTTCTGTACATGCTCAGGATTAACACCCAGCTCATGGCAACTCACTCGGAGCAGTTCTTTATAGGTCAGTTCTTGTCTATCCAGTTCAATTTCAATGAAGTCATTTTCTTTAAGATTAGGGTTTTGTATTCTAACCTTAAGCACCAATTCTATTAGAAATAAAAAGGTACATTAATAGGCAGATGTATAGAGGAATTGAAAAAGATCGCTCTATGACAACTTCCAGATATTTCTATGTTTTATTAACCTTGTTTGTATTATTTGTAACAATACCAGAATTCTCAGAAAGCAAACTGGACTTGTATGACTACAGTTTTCATTAGATTGGCTTTCATCAACGTATATGAAAAAATCATTACAAACCTAGAACAGTCTGTGTGTATGCAGGTATGATCCTTTGCATGAATACTCCTCTTACTGGATGTAAGCTAACTTAAAAGCAGAATATACTGGTTATCAATTTTCTGAGCAATCCAAGATTGCTTTTATTGTTTTTCGATTCTTTTAGTCATCAGTTAACTTCTCATTGCTAATTCATGGCATCAGAACACCTTTTATTTCAAGGATGAAATTCTGAACTGAAACTGAAATCCCAGATTTCCCTCTTTGAGCAGGCAAAATTTACCTGCAGAAATGACAGATCACGTAAGAATTCACCTTAAGACTCAGCTCTGCAGACTGAGCCAAGTGAGGTTCTCTCTTGAGCTCACTGGCTGTGTACTCACGTTCTGTATTTGAAGCTTGGAGTATGCTATTTAGAGAATTAGATTACCCTGGTGTCTGTACGCCTTTATAGCATTTGAGACAAATAGCAAATGTTTTCATCAATATTTTAATAACAGTTCCAGCAGAAACAAGATATCTGCCTCTGTAATTCCCTTCAAATGTTTTCTGAATGCCTAAGCATGGGAACCTGAAAATCTCTAGAAGTCCTGTGAATACATGTAACCCTGATTAGTCTATTTTCACTGTCCAAGACAACAGAAGTTCTAAGACAAAGCAAGAAGAGACTTTTACTGTTACCTTGCATATTAAGTGGAAAAGCTCCCGTGAAGAAGACGGGCTGAAATGCTGGCACAGGCCCCACACAGGAGCCGTTCTCTTGCTGAGGTACAGACTGATGCGATCCAGCTGGCGAAGGGGGACTCCTGCTCCAAGACACAGGTCCCTGGTAAACTGGAGCTCTCTGAAGGAGGGGTTTGGAGCGTGGTGGTGCAGAGCCCGCTGCGGGCAGGGACGGCACGGCCCCGTTACCGGCCGCCTGGGGAGCAGCCTTCCCGTGCTGTAAGGGTGCGCGTGTGCGAGCCTCCACATCGGGTAAGGAAGAAGCGTCAGCATCTTGCGATTCCAAGTGTGAGGCACTCCCATTCACGGAGGGATCTGGAATACTGTTACTCGTGGTGTTATAAATGTAAGGGAAAGGTGGGTTCACCAGATAATTAGGGATGATTGGCAGATCTGGATCTTTCTTTAAGTCTGGGAGTTCATCATCTTCCACTGTAAAACAAACAAAACAGCATTCTCCAAGACTGGTTTGAGGAGAAAAAGAAGTATTGATACTGCATTGTGGGGTTCCTTTGGTTTCTTGGTTTTGGTTTTTTTTTTGTTTTCTTTTTATAGGGAGGGAAGGAGTGCAGTGTTAAAAGCATCACAGGTTAAAAGATGAATCAAGAAGCACTATACCTTTTTTTCTACAGTAAACAGAACTGTGCTCAGATGTTTGAAACAGGTGGCTAGGCCTTAAGCCTCACTGATTTTGGATTTGTAATTAATTATTAGGAATTGTTTTAGAAATGATTAATTTAATGCAGGTGTTCTATAAAACAATATGCATAAGCTGCTCATTTGTCCCATGTATAGCCCTTGCCATGGCTGACGTAAAACTCAGTCCCACTGGATCAACAGAAAAGGAATCATGCATCACGGTTTTAAGACATGAGAATAAGATACGAGTAATTAATTGATTTTTAGAATAGGCAATATTGAAAAATTAACTATTATAGGCTAGACATAGATTAAGTGGGAATTATTAGAACAACTTGAATAGTTCTCAGAAGTTCAAAGGTGATCTTTGATGTATAATGAAGAACTCTCTGCCTACAACCACTAACTACAGAAGAGGAACTGAGACGAGACAGGAGGAGACACTGGACTTTTGAAACCGCTGAAGAATGGAGAACTGAGGATTTGTGGGAAAACAGCAAGAACACTGAGAATTTCTTTTGACAAATACTAATTGCATAATGCTGTAGTTGTATATATAGAGGATGTTTTTTGAGGTATCCTCTGCCACTCACTGAGGTGATGGCCCAACTCTGAGTTGTTAATAAAAAGCAAACCTAGAGAAACCCACCGTCTGGTGAAATTCTTTAGCAATGCTGCAATACAGTAAACACAAAAGCAGAGTCTGATTCTAGTAATTCTGGTGGTGCCATTTGCTTCTAAACACTGCAATACTTTTGGTTTGGTTTGTTTTAATCTGTAGCCAGCATGTTGTTACATGGTCTCTAGTGGTATAATGCTATCATCTCCATAATGTATAAGGCAATGAAAAACAAAGGGTAATATGTTGTTCGATATTAAGGCAGGGGATAAAGGGAAAAGAACAGGGAGTACTGGGAGAGCTGAAATATTACCAATTCAACAGCTGGGAGACAATAATGAAAACAAAAACAGACAAGGGAATACAAAGGGGAGGAAAGAGGTTGTTAATTGACCACATTTCAAATTATTTATCACCTCGAGCAGCAACACCTACTCCACTCCAACAGTTACAAAACATGATGAAAACGCTCTACCAATGTTCTCTAATGAGCTGTTTCTCCAGGCTGCTAATTTTCCATTTATTCAACATAGTGTCTAAGCTCCACAGAACATCAGGAAAATTAGGTGTTGCTCATATAAAAGCTTCATACAAATTTGAGAGATTTTCTCCTGTTGAAAACAGGAAGCTGCATCTATCTTTCACTAGTTTAATCACGGCATTTTTCAAAATACAGTTTTTCTAATTTTTCAGTGTTTGGAAAAAAGTTTGGCTGGCTAGATAGGGAATTTGTTGGTAATCCTCTTTTCTTACACTTTGATTTCTTACCAAGTAAACACTCCATAAATCAAGTCAGTTATTACTAAAACCCAAACACAGTATCTTCAGATGCAAAATAAAGATTGGAACATACATGCTTTCAACAGCCTTTTACTATGTCTTTGACGATCATATGGCATAGCCAGTAGGTTTACCTCCCAGCATCTTCCTTATCTCTCTCTTTGATGCCAGCTGGGCTGCCCTTTCTCCTTTCTTGGTGAGGATCTCCTTGTCCGCGCCGGCACGCAGCAGGTAAGCCACCACGGGAGCGTGGTTCCGTTTACATGCCCAGTGCAAACAAGTCCTGCACATGGAAAACAGTTAACACTGTTTGAAATCCTAAATTACAGCATATTAATTTCCACTCATTCTTGTCACCTATGAGAAGAACAAGATCTAATGCATGTTGACATAAAAAAATTTTAATCTTCCTTGGAAACCAACAGTGGTTTTGGAGCCTGCAGTGACACCTGCTGATGTAGTTTTCCCTTGCTCTGATGCTCTTGATACCAAGTTACCGTAGTAGTATTTCTAAAGTTACGGATCTTTTCAATTTGTCATTTATTAGGCTACTGACTTTTCTGGAAAAATAAATATAAAAAGAAGGCTTGTGTATGCTATTTTAATCTTTGAAAGAATAGGTTGTACTTAAAATTTTTGTGTATGCATAGATCTAAACTAATATTGATACTTCCCTAGGATGTTACTTTTACTCTTTAATTAAGGTCTGCACAATAACTTGCACTTTTTGGAAAGTAAATTATGTTCCAGATGAGCACAGTGTCTAAGCACAATTCTTTGCCCAGTTGCTATTCGCTGCACCAGCAATTCCCAGGCTTTGATCTACAGACAATTAGTTTTCTGCAATCTCTAACTGATGCACAGAACTAATCACTTTTCTATTTTTTAAAATTATTATTTGCAGTTGCTGCCCTGGAGAGAGATAATAAAGAAACATCCTAAAAGCTACTGAGCTTATTTAGTGCTTAGTATTAGGGACTTAAGACTCACATATTATAACTCGCTACACAGTCTTACCATTCTTCCCTATCCTGGGTTCGTGATGCTTGATCTTTCTCTAGCTTTTACATTTTATTCTAATTCTCTAGCTCCAGCTGAAGGAAACTCTTCAGAAAAATGAACACACTTAACCCTTCTCCAAGTTTATTTATTTCTTTTTAAATAATTAAATAAAATAAAGCAGAGATAAATAATAAACTTATAAGGGAAAAAAGTTTCAGTTGAAAGTCCAGCTCCAAAAAGCTTTTTCCACTTTGGTTTTCTTGGGGTTATTTTTTTTTTAAGAAGAAGACAGTCATTAGGCTCCAAAGTTGTAACTTGACCTTTAACTTCCAATGTTGTATACAAAATTCTGCTCTTTTAAGTTTTCTTCTGTAGAATGATGTAAGGGAGAGAGATTCTGATCTTTGAAGGGATACAAATCAGGTAAAACCAATAGATGACAAAGTAACTTGTAAAGCCTCCTTCATTCTTATATACTCTGACTTAATTAAACCCATCTTACGAGAAAAAAAAAAGGCTCAATTATACAATTCCTTCTTACTAAAATTATTGCATCTTGATGGCGGCAGAAAGTATCTCTGAATTAAAAGTAATGGGACTTGTCACTGCAGCAAGAGGTTATGTAAAATTAGATCTAATTGGAGAGACATGAATGAATTAAGTGTATGTATACATATTACTTCACAGACTATCCTACGAAGGGTGCTACAAAATCTGTGTTTCAGAGGTGATACTGCTAGCAATGTAAAATCCTGTATTTTCTTTCCAAATCTGGGCTATGCATTTCAGCTAGAAAGTACCATTTATAAATGAGATAAAAGAATTCTGTCAGCACAAAGTATTCCTGAATTTTTAACACCAAAGATCCCATAGAATCTGAGATAAGCTCCATGAAACTCAGATCAGGTTTGTTTTGTTTTTCTGTGCAGTGTTTTCTGGGCTTTTCATGAGTGTGAATAGTGCACTGCAAAGTCATAAACTAGTCTGGACCAAAGTGGTGGGAAAAAGCACTGACAGTGTGGCCATGGGGTCCTGACCGCTTTGTGTGGTCTCATGCAGAGAGGTACCAGCTACCCGTGGACCTGACACACATCAAAACCTAAGTACTCAACACCTCTTAGCATCAGAGATACTGAGAAGGTCATTGGAGATATTAACATTCTACAAGGAAACTTAAATAAGTGAAGATCCATTTATTGCCATAGTTAAATATGACCAGATCATTATTTTGAAAAATAATTATGACAGATTTCATCATTTCATTTTAGATACAAACTCATTTTGATGACAATCAGCTGTTTATCTTACGCACTAAGATAATTCAATGTTTTAAGAATCAGTTCTCTTAAATCTGTACAAGTTCCAATTTTAATCACCGTACTTCGAACCTCAAAGTTGCAAGTATCCCACACGTCTCAAAATTGCAGACAGAGCTTGCATCATTAAACGTCTAGCTCTTTTCCTAATTTTATTCTTTTTAATTACAACTTCAAGCACAATACAGCACAGTAAATACAGGCTGAATAGAACTTATGGAAAACGGTCTCCAAAAATGCTTGAGCATTCCCTGTAAATCCTGCTTCAGATAACGTTCTGTGTGTGCCTGTTCGTGTATGGAGTCCCACCTGTACAAGTGTCTGTTACAGAAAAGTCTTGGGTTTAGTGTCATGAGATGTCAAAACCAAAGCGTTTATATGTATCACTGAAACAGGCTGCAAGTTCCCTGTTTGAAAGGGAAAGACATTTTCAAAACTGATTTAGGAGTTAATAGGAAATATTTCTGGTTAGATATGAACACGTATTGGCAAGCCAAGGTTTATGTTCTGACTGCCTGTGCTGTGTCTCAGGCTGCCAGAATACTCTTCCAGAATTTAAAAAAAAAAAAAACAAACAAACAAACAAACAAAAAACAAAACAAACAACCAAACAAAAAAAAGGCAATATAAAGGAACACCAGAGTGACCTGGAGCAGCAGCGAACCGCACAGGACCCGAGCAGGGGCGGGGAAGGGGCCGCGTGTTTGGAACAGCGGCTACCGGCTGCACCACCGCCGGCTCCTCTTTGGGAGACAGGGACCTACACCGAGGGGCACCGGATCGACCTTTTCATTCCATTCTCGGCTCAAACCGATTCGTACTTCGCGTGAGCCCGCGGCAGCCGTAGCGCTGCCAAACGGGCGGAGCGGCGGGAGCCTTACCAGCCGTTGACTTCGTTCTGGGAGTTGAGGCCGACCCCCACCTCCTCCACCAGCCGCCGCACCTCCTCCGCGTCCCCCAGCGCCGCCGCCTCCCGCAGCCGCTCCTGCCGCTCCCGCTCGGCGGCCGGAGCCGCCATCTCGCCGCGGCCCCCCCGCCGCCCGCGGAGGAGGAGCCCCGCGGGGGGACCCTATTGCCGGTGACAACCCCGGCCCAGGCGGCGAGTTCCGGCTCTGCCCGCCGGCCCCACGCGGGAAGGCGGCCGCCCTCGGCACACGCGCGGTCGCGTAGCGCGGTGCCTCGGGTCGCGTTGTTCGTTCTTGCGGGGTCTGGATGCGCGCAGCTCTCCTGGCTGGGGAATCCTCGCCATCTTTGCGCGTTCTCGGCAAAATCAATTAACCTCCCCAAAGGGAAGAAAAAAAAAAAAAAATCAACGTCTGCTTGTAAATGAGATGGAGAGATTACAGGTAATTCCTGTAATTTCCATTGCTTCTTTTGAAAAGCTGGTTTTGGTCGTTGTGGACTTGTCCTAAACCAAGCTATGGGGGAGAGAACAGCTGGCAAAATAATACACAACTATAAAAAGTCATTAATTTCAAGCTTCAGCCAGGCATCTAGGTGTTTCTATTCCAGTCTGCTCTGTGTGACCATGCCGGGGCAATCTGCAATAGTTAGGTTCCAGTGTAGCCGTTAGCTTGCTTGATGCGGTTGGAGCAATATAAAGGAGCTGAAACACAACCCAGTTCTGCCCGTTTTCTAAAGCAAACACCCATCTCCCGCCCCAAAATACTGCAGGGTATTAAGATTGAAAATTCACAGAAGTTGTGTTGCCTTGGCTTTGATTACGCTCTTCCAACAGTTGCAGTGGGTTGTTAAATCGTTACAAAATTGCAAAGCTTGAAAGAACTTCGAGGAGCCTGTGTAACGCAGGTGTTACTTCTCTGAGGAAACTCCGCGGGTAACGCGTTTCCATGAAGCCCTTGATGATTCTGAGCAAGACTGCTCAGAGTCCTGTGGGTTTTACAGGATCCACATGTATAGAGACTTTAAGCTCTTAAAATGTATATATATATAATTTAATTAAAAATGTAATTCTGTGCACTTACGATGCTGAAAATTATTTTGAGAAATAGATGAAAATTGGTGTGTGAAACTGAGGAAAGATGAGGTACAAAGTCACATCTAGAAAGGAAGACGACCCAACAAAACAAGCGGAAACTAGTTCCAAGATCAAACGGTAAGATTTAAGTTAGATCTGAGGGAGGGTTTTTTTTCCCCCTCAGCATGTCAGTAGAATTCCTAAGGGAACAGGGAGACACTCCGGCGGCCGCTACCTGCCGCAGGGATGGCGTCGGTGCCTGTGGCCCTGCCAGGGAGCAGAGGGGACGGTGACGACGCTGCTGTTGCCGCCGCGGCCTGTGTCCTCTGCCTCCAACGGCATCGCATCCCAGCGCCATGACACCCCACGGGGCAGGACGGCCTGCGCGGCCCCGGCGTGTGTGTGTGTGTGTAAGGGCGGCAGCCCCGCCGCCACTGGGAGCAGCAGCCCGGTCCCGGGTGGGTGCGGAGCGCGGCGGCCGCGGCCCCGCCAGGCCCCAGAGGCGGTTAGCCGCCGCGCGCTGCATTGTGGGCAGGGCGAGGAGCCGCGCCGCCATTTTGTCTCTGTCACTGTCGGCGGCGGCGCGGTCGGTCGGGGAGGAGAGGAGAGGGCGGCGGCGGAGCCGGTGCTTGGCGTGGGGGGATTCGGCCAGGAGGACACGATGATATCGGCCGCCCAGCTCCTAGATGAGCTTATGGGCCGGGACAGAAACCTGGCCCCGGACGAGAAGCGCAGCAACGTGCGGTGGGACCATGAGAGCGTGAGTGAAGCGGAGCCGCCTCTCCCCTCCTTCCCTCCCTCCTCCCCATCCCCCTCGCAGGTTTTGTCGTAGCCACACGGGCCGCGGGCCTGTAGTTTCTCCCGGCCTGGGGAAAGCAACGGGGGCGGGGGGGAAGGGATGAGGAGCCGGCCGAGGGAGCGGGGGGGGACCCTGGGACTGGGTGGGGGTGCGGCTCGGGCCCTTCGTGTGGGGCTCCTGCATGGCGGCCGCGGGGCGGGCTAGGCCCGGGCCGTTGCGCGGGAACCTCGCTGAGCCTTACAGTGAGGAGGAGGATCCTGCCATAACAAGGCTGTCCGGGAGGGCTTGCGCTGTTGTTTGGGCTCCTGGGAGGAGGGAGGCCTTGTGTTTGTGGTTGGCGCAAGGGGGAGAGGTTGTGTTTGCCGTGGCGTGTTTTCTGCGGAGTGTCGGTAAACGGGAATAGGGGCTTTCGGAGAGGCCTGTTGGTGGCTGGGATCTCACGTGGGGGAAGAGAAAAACAATGCGTTGGAGAGGCGGGGAGGATAGTGGAATTTTGCTCTTTTGACAAGAAGCCCACTGACTTGTACGAAGAGATGAGACGTTGGTAGTTTGGAAGGCAAATGTCTCTGGATCTCTTCCTGAGTGTGGTATTGGGAAAGGAAACAGAAGGATACAGAGGTACTGACTAACTGTCTGGAGGTTGTAGCATAAGGAAGACCCATAAGACTTTTGAAACTGAGGATTTTGTTAAGAAAAGCTTGATTTCTTCCATACTTTCTCAGTCAAAGAAGTTCCGTAGCTCCTGGGGGGGGGGGGGCTAACCAAAACATTACTATTGTTTAGTTGTACTTACGTATTTTTTGTTTGTGGGGGTTAATTTTCTGCAATAAATAGCTCACACGATACTTTAAAAATTATTATTATTATGATGATGATGGAGTGGGTTTTCTCCCTAACTGTGGTTGAGCTTTAATCGATAATGAATTTTAGTGACATCCATTGTAGTTGTAAGTTATTTCACAAAACACTAGTGGTAGTCTTAAAGTTCTTATAGCTGCTTCTTGGGGAGAGATGAACACCACTGAAATACTTTCCCCCCCCCCCCCCCCCCCCATTCATAATACATTTTTTGAGTTGCAGTATATGTTAAAAGAAAGTGTTACAGTAGCTCATTTATTACCTGTGTGATATGAATTTCTGTGATTTAAACTGCAAAAAGCCTGTAGCTCCTCCCCTCCCTTTGCATTTTCTCGGGATGTTAAATTGCTGGAGGGAGAAATGCTTGCTTTTGGCTGTTCTAAACTGCATCTTAATCAGAGTTGGGAATTTCATGTTTTCAAACAAGAGTTATGTCTTTTTGAAGATGGCTAATGCATTCTTTAATTTGTCTTGGAATGCATGAGATAAGGACAAATATCTGTCTTGCCTTAGATTTTGTAAGTACAAGGAATGCTTGGGGGGAGGGGGGGAAGGTTGTGGTGTTTTTTTTGTTGTTGGTTGGTTGCTTGTTGTTGTGTTTTGTTTTGGTTTTTTTTGTTTTTTCCCTACTTGAAAAATGCTGCTATATAGGTAAGCTGTGCATGTCAGAAAGAAATTGAGAGTTCAGAAAGTTTTCATGACCTTAATGTCATTCTAGACTTCTCTTATTAACGAAATACCATTATTCGGTTAGGTGTTCAGTTACATATTTTCTTTTGGTTCTGAACTCAAAGTAAGAAGGATTTGTTCCTCTTTGGAAATATTAAGTAAATGGCTTGAGCCACATTGGTCCAGGTGGAATTAAATAAGGGGATTGTTTTGGTTTATTTCTTAAGGTGAGAGAGATTTTTTTCATTGGAATTTTTTTTCCCTCATTTGCTTTAATAAAATTCAGATTACTTTTTTCATCTTCAGATGAGCAGATTTTTAAATATTATGCTGAAGAGATTGACTATAACCATGGGAATCTGTTTCTAAGCTGTCCAGTTTTGCTGTTTTGAAAATGGGGCTTGGTCTCTTCTTTCCAGTCCTCCTTTGACAATTTAGAAGGTGGAAAGCTGTCCTGTGTCTTAAGGACAGTGGGAAATTCACAGGCTTAGTTCAGGTTGAGCCTTCAGTCTTGCAGGAACTGCTGCTGTTTGCTGCTCTTCTGCTTTTATTTATGAAGTTTATAGGACCATAATCAAGTGGAACCTCTCTGGAAGGAATGTTTTCATAAATTCCAATAGTCAACTGATGAGTTCATAAAAAAAATTTACTACTGTTAAAACATGTGTTTTGGTTTGACTTCCTGCATCACCTAAAGATGAAATTTGCAAAGCCGGGTGTTTTAAAAGACAGGGAATGCAGATAAGGTTCAAGTAGTAACATTAATTCATCTACTTGACTGCTGTTTTGCTTTTTAGATGAAATACGTGTGCTAATATAATTTATTGTAAAATTAAACATACATTAACATGTAGCTTTTTCAATGTAAGCATGTTGTACTCATACCAAAGTTCAGGATTTTGTGTCACATTTCAACGGTTTTAGATATGGAAGGTTATCAAAATGAGCTCATCTCTGTTTTCTTTATCACTTGTAAATTGCATCTAGGTGGATATCAAAAACTATTTGGAAGATGCAATGAAATACAAGATAGGAGTAGGTTGTTTTGAAGGTGTAGAAGCAGAGTGTGTGATAGCTGAGCATTTATTTGCAGTTCTAATTAAACATTGATCAAGTATTGTAAAGCCTTTTGTAGACCTTAAGTTCTTACTTTAAAACTTTGACATGATCAAAGCCTCTAATATTAAAAAATTGAAATCCCAGTTGCTATGTATTTCAGTATTGCAGCATGTCCTTAGATGATCAATTCTAGTTTTGGCATAAAGGCTTTCTGTTTTGTATGCAGGCAGGAGGAAATTATTAGTATAATATATTATAGTGTCTCTGCTTACTGTCATATCCATAGACAAAGTGTATTTTTGGAATAGTAGCTTTATTGATTCACACATTCTTGCTTTAATATGCCACCTATACAAAACATATTTGTGCAGAAACAGGGATTGTGTAAGAGTTTTGAGGCTGTTCTGTAGCACAGGAAAGCCCAGCACTGACTAACTGTACTTTGTATAAGGCTTTGAGATTGTAGTGATTCCTTCAAGGTAAATTTAGTGTTCTCAGGAAGTGGGGAGGAGTGGAGACCTGTTGTGGACAAACGACTGTGAGCCATTATCTCTGATAGGATTGCAGTTTCTCAAAATGTAGGTTTTGTATATGATTTGATGGTATTGGCTATTGATGTATTACATTTTCATTTTTTAATGCTAAAGACCTAAATTGGTTTGCATTGGGATAGAATCTCAGAACTTAATCCTCCAGGGGGGTGAGATGGGGAGGGGACTTCAGTCTTACTTGCTTTGGAAGAATATTAGTAAGGGAAGGTTATCTCTAAGAGTGGGGTTTAGGGGAAGGGCTTATGTTTGTTTAGTTTTGTGTGGGCAGGCATTGCTCATAAAATGTCCGATGCACGTGAACTTTAATGGTTTCAAAGAACTCCTCTGTATGAAGGAATTTTCTAGATTTTGGTATGTAAGCCACAACCTCCTGGATTTTATTCTCAACCTTTTTACTAGGAATTGTCTGCCTAAAGGAATTTGCTTACATAATTGTTGATTACAATTATACTGATACTTCTCTCCATCAATAAATAATTTCTTGCAGAAGGGGAATGTGTTAATGTAGAAGTATTAATGATCTAGAGCTGTCAGTAGTTTCTTCATATAGGAAAGCTTTGAATTGGTTCACAGACTCTGGAAGAGCTAGCCATTCTTGCTGACAGCTTAGTCAACTTTGAGGTGAAGGTTACTACTTTGCTGCCTTCAAGACATGTCAAGCATTGGTGAATTTGAGATGAAGAAGTGGAAAGTTCCAAGTGTCAAATATCTGTATTCATTCTAGTGTTTTACCGAAATGTGAGACCTGAAGGGCTTTGAGAC